CCATAAAAAAAAAAAAAAAAAAAAAAAAATGCCCCAGGACAACCCGCAGGCTTTTGACATGAAACGACGTAACGGCATGGAACGCCCTCAGTGACTTTCTGGACATTGTCAAATTTCTTTTTCTTCCTCGCCTCCACATTTTCCCTTTCCACAGTGTCTCAACCACCTTTCTGAAAATGCAACGACATCAAGGAATGAAAAAAAAACCATAGGATAACTGATCGAATATACCTCTAACTCTCGTGAAAAATATTACATATGGGAAAAACGCATGAGCGCGTGAGAGCGTCAATATACGTTAACAAGAAAAATGGTAAAATTTGTCTGTCATAAAAAATGTACATAACCCAATGCCGTCTGCATGAGAACCCTTGATCACACACGTACGATAGGGGATGAAGAATTGTCCAGGAATCGCACGTCGAGTATAAAACGGAGCAGGTGTTCGTCATGACTCATTCTCATTTTTCATTTCCTCATTTTATGGGGAGCACATAGAAAGAAAAGAAAACAAAATTAAACTACAGCACGCAACCCCATAAAGTACCGTCTACGCGTCACAAGTTTTGTTTTCTTTTACACTGACTCCCAGTGCTACTGTGTACGTACATACATAGGGGAACGTGTAGCCTGGTACATTTCAACTGAATAACCCTGTACATAAAAGTACGAGTGGCGAACACGTAAAATATTGATTACCTGACAAGGAACGATAACGATACTTATTTTTCATTTTGAATTGATCGTAAACCAAAGGGGTTGTTACATAGTGTTGCCTGGTTACCCTTGTACGAGGGTGACAATTCCTCGTTAGCTTAACATCAAAGTTTTATGCATCGACTGTATTCCCTGGAACATCAGAATATAATTATTAATTACAACGAAAAAATTTAATTGTCTGGCCTTGACAGTGTCTACTTTTTCTTACCTCATGTACAAAGCAGATCACTTTTTAGTCCTCAGTCTCAAAAGCACCAAATTAGATTTCCTTTATTTTCTAATAGTGTTTTCGAGTATCTCCAAGTAGCAAGGCCTGGTAGAACACTTGATAACAGGAGTAAAGCAGACGTCGATGCTGCTTCAGGATAAGCATTAAGTGGCTTTAGAGAGCATTGAAAAAGCGTTCTGGCCAACCATGAAAACCCACCCTTAGCGACTGAAAGACGTCTGTCGCCTATTATTTTTTTTTCCTTCCCCTTTCCTCTAGTTCAAACATAAAGCAGACAGGCCCAAAGTGGATTCGCCCAAAGAATCAGGATGAATAAATACCAGAAGGCTCGAGGAGAAAAAAAAAAGGAAATATATATAACCCACAAGAAACGAAGGGAGCCAAGAAGATGAGTCACTGGGTATGAAGTATACGTGCTGCCATGTCTACGACGATCTTAGCGAACGTGCCTCGAGTACAGGAAATGGAGTTTAGGAAAACGCCAGAAGAATTGTAATGCGCCTACGCTTAGTTGTAATTACGCATAATGGCATCAGTGCCAACAGTGCATAGCGGTATCACCGACATACGAGAAACATCCATAATAAGGAAGTAAACAAGTGAAGAGAAAAAGAAATACCAGATAATAATAACTGGGCCAGAACCTCTCGTGGAATTGCGTAGACCTTGCAGCTTTTACTTTGGCGACGACGGGAGAGGCCAAGAGAAAAAAAAAATTCAAGTAAATAAATATAACGAAGAATGTGAACCTATGCGATAAGAAAGGGTGTGACGTTGAAACTGTCAGCAAGAAACTCGGTCGTAGCGTAGGTCGCTGTACCCGTAGGTAGAAGCTGCGACGAAGGATAGTCAGTCACGAGACCGTAGAGAGGGAGTTGCTCAGTTATATTTAAGCACAGAAGACCAGCATACTCGGTTCAGCCTGCACTGTAGTTCCATACCGGTAGGAAGTATCTGTACAGTACTCAGCTGCCAGCCTGGATGGATTATAACACTGTCCTACTGGTGGCATCGTAGAAAAAGTCTCTTGGCGAAAATAAGAAAAAGATATTCTGATATAGCACAAGCACTTGCATATATTGCACTGCGCTCAACCTCAAAGCAGAGCTTTAACTTGGCGACAGAGAACTCTATAAATTAGATTCCAAAAAATTAAATAGAACCGGTACAAGATAAAGTATCAGTACTGGCTGGGCTTACATGACACTTTCCCAAAGGACTATTATAACTAGAACATGTACATATATGTATCATGGCTGTATTCTCGTGTGGTGCCTAGCTCGCTGTAACCACGTGTCCTTATTAGTAGCTTCGTTTAGATGACGGTCAATTTTGCGCGCCTTAACTTTTACGCCCACGCTCGGACCGATTGCGAATCCTCAATGGTTCCAACATCCATAGCCAAAGAACGGGAGTTGACAGGGGGTCTACCTGCTTTTTCGGCATGTCGTCTGCGGTATAGTTAAAAAAAGAATTAACCCTTGAGGATCTAAGCATTGGTTTTCTAAAGCTATCTTGAGCATAGTCTTCGCCAAGCCTTTCAGAACTGCCTGGTAACGGAAGAAATTGAAAATTCATATTTAATGTACATTTGGAGTACAATAAAGCGGCGTTCATACTGAATTTTTCGAACGCTAAGCACGCCGAGCTACCATGGAAATGGCTGGGCTAGATTAAGATGGCTTTTGAAACTCCAACGCTAGATGCCTCGAGGTTTAGTTTCTTAAGTAGACTACCTTGTAGAGATAGAGCACATACGACAACTTTACCAAAAGTGACAACAAAGCTGAGTATTGGACACTGTTAAATATTCAAAATGGAAATTCTTATGGGAATTCGTAGAGCCATTTGGGCATGCCGAGTGTCTGTGCCTTTTCTTCAATTTCTATATAGCCCCACGTGTGGGTCGTTATAGGAGCGAAATTTCCAAGAAATTTTGGTTATGGGACGTCAGAGGGTTAACGAGTTTCTTCATCCCGCATTGGAATGTGCGACTTTGGTCATGGTTTTCTGGCACTGTGTATGGTTTAACATGAAAAAAGAATTTATCAGTCAATGCTATAAGATTAGTCATGAATTTAAAATTGTTGTTACAGTGTCTATCCTCTTTTGTGAAAACTCAATCTGCGTTTGTCATTCGTTTCCGGTTTCTCCTGCTAATCAATGGGGAGTGTGTGTCCTCCATGGTGCCTCATAGTCATGACGCAGTAAAGTTTGATTCCAACTGACCCACATAGAGAAGATCATCAGGTCTGACCCACATTGTGTGCGTGTGCATATTGGACGTGTCCCAGAATAGGTGGACGACGGCTGGCAAATTGCATGGGATTTTAACACAGTATGTGGAACTCGCCACCACCACCACAACCACCGCCGCCTTCATCTACCATCCTGAAAGCCAAAGGGAAATAAGAGGGTTGGAAATGGCGCAGGGGTCTTCTCCCTTGCGCCCAGATGCAATCGATACAGCTGCGCCTAGGACGCCAGAATTACGCTAGCAGCTCTGCCACTGACGTAATCCACAACTAGAACACCCTGGGACTTTAGGTCTACCTTCATGGGATCCCATGAATATCCCTGGCATTTGAACAAATGAAAAAATAAACCTAGCTCAGTCATTGCTGGGTTATATGTATACTAATGTAATATAGTATATACCGGGTGAAACGTACGACATGGAAAATAATTGTTGTTCACACCCAAAGCCTCGTTTAAAATCACAGTTGTGTTCTCCTTTAATTTTTATCGAGAAATTTGAGCTTTTTCTAAAATCTCAAAGTGTTAAATGTTTCTTGGACAGTCTTGAAAGTTACGGAACTCACGGATATTTCTGGGCATTACAGAATCCAACCACTTTTTCGTATTTTTTTGTTTCCTGACAATCGCTGCGCCCTCCATGATATTACCAAGTTCGTCTTTCGCATTATGCTTTCAGATAGGCACCGTTATGTAGTCAACATTTTTTATCAATTGCTGAATGTACCGTAAGGAAATTAGTGTGCCCTGCTTTTCCACGTATCCTAGTAAGCGTCCGTAATACTCATTTCTATGCAAATACCGGTTGCCGCACGTGTGTGACGTTAATCTCTAAATATTCCAGAGAAGAGAGAAAGAGAGAGAAGGAGAATGCGAAAAGGAGGAATCAACATATCCCATCTGTCCTGATGAGTAAAGATGATTGAGTCAACGAAAACGGACGTATGGTACGTCATCCGTTCCAATACTAAAAGTAGTTATACGTTGTGTTCAACAAAGATGCAACAGGTGTATCCTAGTGCACGATATCTCAGACTACTCGAAGCGGCAAGGTGCCAACGGCAAGGGAACAATCAGCAAAGTCTCATGTGACAATGAAATTAATGATAAAAAATTGTTTGATAGATCCAAAACGATCCAATTTCAAATATCCATCTTGAGTCTCATCATAGACTCAAGATAGAGCATCCAAGAATATCAAAGGTGCTGAAAAAAAATATTGTTATTCACGTTAATGATAAAATGATTCCACTTCTTATATAAACATCCGCCATTTTTCGCCCGAAGCACCCGATTGACTCACGTAAATATTAGAAGTCTCACAAAAATTTCATGATGTAAGCAGCGAAGATATATTTTTGCAAAATCGCCAAATAAGTATCACTGTATGCTGTAACAGTGAAAAAATGCAATTCAAATGTATAACCGTAACAGTTTAGTTCCTACGAGACGCTACAAAATGAAAAGATGGCACTAACGTCGCCCCTAAAGAAAGAAACGTAACTATAAAAGAAAATGAATCATTTATTTCCAAAGACTTGCCCACTCTGAGTAAACGATTAAAAATATTGATTACGTCAAAGTACTTTTTTAATATACATAAACGGATCTTGATTAATTGGAAAGGGATATAATTAAGATAAAGGTAAGTACAAGCTCAGGAAAAGTCTGAGACTACATTTTTCTTTCGCAGTAAATTCTCTCTTCTCCCTAACCAATAGCGCACACGTGTGCTGTTTGTAAGTAAAGCAGGCAAGGCCTTGGCAGGGTTGTAAGAGGAGCGAGGAGAAGAGGAGAATAAAGAGGGATTTAAGCCTCAAAGCCCAGTACGTTCCACACAAAGGGAACGAGAGATGGCAAAAGGTCACGACAGTCAACTCCGCCACTCGCAAAAGGGCATGTGTACATACGTACATATAGTTACGTAGGCTAGTAGGAGGACCGAAACAGCATTCGAGATTCTCTGCCTTTTATGTACCAAGAGGATACATTGCATAGAGAGATTTCCATTTGCAATGTATATACTGCATGTAGAGAATATACGTGTACGGCATGTGTGAACCAAGCGATGCAAATAACTCGTCGGAAACTTTAGCGTCTACTGGGTGTCTTAATAAGTTATAAAATCACAACAAGTAGACGATATATAGTAACGTTAGACATTGTAAAGACAGCATATCGCGGCACAGCGAGTAAAGAATGTTCATTGTGTTAATATATTTTACGTTAAATAATTGATGTAATTAAATTAATTTTTTTTATTTATCCTGTATAAGAGTCTACATGTAATGCATCTATTGAGTGCGTGTTAAATTACTGTACAGTACAATATGCGCAAATTATTTCTGTTTTTCTAAACTGCAATGCAATATTCAGGTAGACGTGAGTAAAAAAAAATAGAAATAGTAATAATAAAACGAGGAATCAAGAAAATCAGCTTACTCGCTATGCCAGGGTGAAGAATTCTATAGATAGGTGGACGTAAATAGACTCACCCAGAATATGAGGTTCACGAACACGAGTATGTATTTGATGAGGCCGTAACACCCGGAGAGTCCCATTCTGACTTATCAGAGGATGTGCTTCGTTGATGCTCGTAAAATCCTGGAGTAACTCCTGCTGTTACACTGGGTTCAATCGACCAGGAAGCACAGACTTTACGCGTCGCGATGCAACTGATCTGGACGTTAATTAATGTTTAGCTCGCGCACTTTTTTCTAACAAAAATTGAGAAAAACGATCCTCACTGCACGAAGGTTCGCGAACAACTGAATACTCGCTTAGATCGGAAGGTCTGTCGCTTCCGAATGGTGGGAGATTGCCGCCACTGTCAAGCATGGGATCTTTCTACCAATGAGAGAAGAGCGTCGCGACGCCTGGATCTAGTCACGGCTACTGCTACTAGGCACCCTGGGCAAATAATGTTGGGACTGTTATATTGTTATTCGTTGTACTGCCTTTATATTTCATTAAATCATTATTAAAGATACTTTACCAGCTCTCCATTTTAATTTAAGTTTAAATGGAATCATCTGTTATGTTTATTATGTTATGCTATATTAACACGTTGTATTATATCAGCATCTGGCGTAGAGTGACTCATAGACTGAAATAAATAAAATATTGTAAGTGCCTGAATTTTGATAACACTTTATACACGCTTGTATAAGATACTCGAATTGCAGGGGTATGGATTGTTTACTTAAGTATGGCGTAACTATTATGTAAAATATTGAGATAATAAACCTTTTTAAAGTGAACTTAATTTATTGCCATTTCTTTTACTTAACAACCCTTAATTTCAGCATTAATTTGACATCGTCACTGAAAATAAGTGAAGCGAAGGTCAATATTTAAAGAAAGAAATAGCGCCTTTCTGATTAATATTGTTTGATCTCTAGAAATTCATATAGTCGATTATTACAAGTACTTAGATTGAGTGTCACCGTATTATTTGACAGATCGATACAAATATTTTTTTAACTACTTCGCGCACGTGAATTAACCATAAAACCTTTGAAATATATGAAAACGATATTTTTGTTTCTCCACGGCCGATAACGCTACCCGATCTGAGGTAGTGCCCATCCTTCAAGATATCATACCACATATTTTAATCTGTGTCAACAATATGATGGTTCTCAAACTTTCTCAGTAAATAACAATTGACAAATTATCGAAATCATTCTCATAATATTCATAAAGTACAATCATTTATCAGCATCCTGCAGTATCCTACAGCGTCCATCGTAACTGTAATCATTTTTACGTATCAGATCCGTATCATTATAGGTAATCAACGCCATTTAAATCCTCGATATAACAACGAATCTAAATATATGTAAATGATCTTTTGCCGATCTCGTTTATTGATCTATAATAACGACGAAAAAATCTGAGAACCCCTGTTTGATCTCCCCACTGTATTTTTAGTTCCCATTACATCTAGCAGGAGGCGTATTTATTCCTGGCGTCCCGAATCCCGCGTGAACCGAACGAATTGAACTGAACGCCGGCTGCGCCCACAACAAGAGAAAATGGCGAGCGAGAAAGGAATTTAAGATCGCCTAAGGATTTCACATCAGGTAATTCTTAACTTGTAAAATTACAATGATACAAAATGATTCTAACATAGTATCTGTTTGTTAATTGTAACGTCTCCTTATGTCATGTCACGATAAATCCTTACAGGATCGATCCTCGTACTCAACGTCAACATTTCATACAATTTGAGCGTGTCTCTTCCGAACACTTCGCGCTTCTCTTTAAGCTACCTCTTCTTTTTAACCCTTTATCGGTACTGTGAGGTCGCCACCGGGCTTGTCACTCGCAACTTTATCCACCCTGAGGTCTTAGGAGGTCATTGATACTGGTCACGACCTGCCCTGAGAATGTTTTGTTAGAATTATTAATAATTGTTCTTCGCCCTTTATGAATTCACTTTGATCTAATCTACTTTATCTAGGATGTTCTTTCCATCGTGTAGTTTTGTCCTGGTTTCACCTAGTGCTTAAGGCAATGGTATAATCAGATATAAGGAAGCATTAATAGATATTCATGAGACCCTGGCTATTAAAGGATTGGTCATGGTGGTCTTAAAATTTTTAAAGTTTTTTTTTATATGACACGTGTGACATGTGATTTTATGGTTCTATTGACCTTTTTTTTATTACATTCTTTATTAAGATATATTACTTTGTTTTTATGTAATAGAGTTTAACTAGGGAGCTTTGTTATGTAACAGAGATTCATTGTTATATTGATTTGTTATTTAACGATTAATTAATGACAGTTGATTGGCAGTACTTTTCTGTTTTAAATAGAAACCATTCTTGTCTTGTCTTATCCTTGTGGATTAAAGTGTTTGTAAGGATGTTATTTACTACTTGGTATGCACAAGGAGATTCTATTTCATATAATTGAGCATAATGCGTCTGCATCTATTTATGTATGTCTTGTGCTAGAATGTAATGCCACTCATGTATTAAATGCTTTAAAAACCTGAAAGATTTTCTTATAGGTATATAGTATGTGATACCATAGCAACAGTTTGATAACATTAACAAGTTAATGAAATACAATATTATGTAAAAGTAGACATTGTGGTAGAGTTCAATTAATCTCAGGAAATGACAATGAAATCAGTGCGATGAAACTCTGATGATTAGAAGAAAGTACAGAATCGCTTCTTAATATGTTTTATCAATTTTTCATCATAGCATTAATCAGCAGGGAAGCAACATTATTCAGCCAGTATTTTTATCAATGTGACTATAGATAATTGACAAGAAATGTAAATGGCTTGACTTTATATATACAGAATTAGATTAACTTACAAGACAAGCCAAAAAACCAATTACAATTATCACTGACCCAGCGACATTGATTATTAATCTAATATAACTTCGAGACTATTTTAGTATTTAACGATAAGATTTTCGACTATTCGAATGTCTGTACTGTGACGGCAGCCTCCCTTGTGTCAGTCAAACCGTCACCTCATCTCTATCGAGATTATATTCTTGGGCAATTAAATAGTTAGGTAACGAAATGTGCCAAATCTGCTTTATGACTTGAGCATATTTACATCGTATAATATATTACCAACTGAAATTTAACCATAATCCAACAATTCTAAGAGTATTTCCATTTTGATATTTTTATCATTTTTTTCTCTTTCAGCTTAATAAAATTTTAAGCAACATGTCGACGCTTGAAAATCTAAGCTCGCGTCTCATGATGCCTGCTAAAGATCTGGCAGATTGGAATTTTCCTCTGGCACAGGTAAAAAAAAACTAAAGAAGGATAAGAGAAATTAAAGAAATATACAAAGAAACAATAAAAATATTGTTATAGGTTTTAGAAGAGTATTACAAGCTTCTCGATAAACCCAGTGAAATTAACTATGGTGAAGCTGCTTTAGTGGTGCAGAATTCTACTAATGTGTATTCGAGACGTGTAGAGTACTTATTCGATAAAACTGTTCGAATGGGTGAAAATCTTCATAATAGTCAGTAAGTTCCTGATTCTATAGAGAGAAAAAAATAAGTCCTTGGTGATAATATTGGTTGATAAAACTTGTTTAGATCTAATGAGGGAGAGAAAAAAGATGCGACGAAAGAGAAAAAGTCCAAGTCCAAATCAAATTTCGATTTCAATGACTTTGAGTCTATCAATCTCAGCAAGGAAATCGGCAAGAGCATCAACCTGAAGGAACAACGAACTAATCGTAAATCGATTAAATTACTAAATAGAAGATTTACTCAATTAGAGACTAATAACTCGCATTTAATATCGCCCGTCGAGATCCTGGACATTCATGGAGAGATCATCGGGAAGAAATATGATTTTCGGTAAACGTTATTGCCAGTTTCGTCATTAGCTTTAGTTTAAGCGTCATTGAATGATAATGATATTTAAATTGGAGAATCGTTGTTTTCACAGGTGTAACCAACAGGTGACTATGACTGGTATGCTCGTGGATGAGCTCACACCGAATGGTAAGAGAAATAAAAATAATAAAAATGTTTTTTATTTTTAAGGAAAAAAAAAGAACTATCCTTTTCTTTTAGACTTTCCGGTAGTCACTGACATGCTAGACAATAATGCTCTCTTGAATCCTACACAGTCATCAGGATACTGTTCAGACTCTCATCAGGATTGCGAACCAAGACACAGTGAACTTAGCTCTGAGTCCAACCGTAAGACCAGGTCGTTAAACGTTTCCGGTTCCAGTTTTGATGACCTTCTGGAGACCACTGTTGTATCAAACCAGCATGATTCAGATTACTGTTCTTTAACGGCGAGCTCAGAGCTTTCACCAGGTAGCCTAAAAAACTACACTTCTATCGGGAACAGGACTTCCAGTCCGGATAGACTTAGCAATGACTATGTCGAGCATGACAGGGAGGACTTTAGCGAGCTGACGCTAACAGAGAATGTCAATTCTCCTACCGGAAGCCACGACGCTGATACCAATATAATCAGCAATAATCCTGAAGATGAGGAAAGGACTATTACAGATTGTCAGTGTAACGATAAGGCCGATTCAAACGAAAGGCAGACAAGTTCACAAGAAGTTGATACAACTGAGAATAATTCAAATAGAGAACGAACCATTAGGGGATGTAGTTCCAGTGAACGTGATGATGATACTGTCAAACTTCCGGTCGAACTAGAACAGCGAAGGTATTTCAACAAAGATGTTTGTGTTTTAAGAAATTAATCTTTTGTATATTTACAGAAGTAAGAGATTAAAAAATGCAAACGCAGCTGCCAATGATGACAATACAAAAGTATTAGAACCAATACCATTTAAATGTGGTGTACCGGAAAAGTTACCAAAGCGTCGTACACAGTTCAAGCTACCCTGCCACATATCTCTGCTAAAATTCAAATCTGAATCTGTACGTATATCCTTTCATTATTATGTTTATAAAAAGAAATGTTTATAAAAAGAAAAAAAAGAAAGAAAACCGCTCTTAATTCTAATAGCGTAAACGGAAACCAATATCAGAGGCAAAACGGAAGCAGCGTCTAACTAGGAATATCTTAGAATACGAGTCAGAGCGCAAGAAGATGACCATGTATTCACCAACTAAACAAATGTTTACTATCTACAAGAAAGGTAATAAACTAACAAAGATGAATAACGAAACAGTCCATATAAATTTCAAAGAAAAATCTTCACTTATAAAAAATCATTGATTTTTTATTTAACAGAGGAACTTGAAGAGTTCCAAAAGACATGCGATCTCTGTTTCAAGAGTATACGTGATTACGACATCTATAATTATGAACCAGTAAGCACCATCACGATGGACTTGCTTGGGTTCAAATCAAATTTCGCCAACAATGATCCACTGGTGGATCAATTACCTTACACGACACAGAATACCTCCGGTTCTGCGAACATCATCTCCACGCAGTCCAGACTCTCGCCACAACCTAGTACATTTACACCGCCTGACACACCAGAACCCGAGGAAACATTTATCGCGGATTGTTCCATGGACTTCGATCCAGAAATCCAGGATGATGTACCGAACTACCAGACCCTGATAGAGCGTAGAATGTTACAGCTTCTCCAGGAGTCTGACGTTCAGACAGAGCTGGAGCAGAGGGTATTAAATTGGCACAAAAGTCTTAAGCCAAAACTCCTGGAAGCTGAACGAAGGGCTACGTTTCATATACATGAGTACAGTGAACGAATCCTGGAGAATCTTTGTGATGCTAGCACCAAGAAACTATCATTTGAGAGTACATTTCACCAGGAGTCACCGACCGAAGTCGCCCGGTACTTCTTAGCTACGTTACAACTAGTGAGTATACAATACTGCATATACTTTATATAATATTTTAAGACTGCTTATACCTCTGGATTTTCTTTCTAGGCAAATTCCTACAATATTGCCATCGAGCATGACGAAGACCTTCATCAGGATATGGAGTTAATTCTACTTAATTCAGAAACCTCTACCTCGACCGCAATATCGGTAATCTCTAAAACAAATTCCAAAAAAAGAAGGCACTTATAAAATAATATCAATTCGAACTATCGGACGTGCTCATCTTCGTGGGTGATTCTTTAACTTAACCATTTTAACCAGTGACTTTTGCGCGTCACTTCTCAATTACTTTTTGTACGTTCATTTTAAAATGGAGAAAAATGGTTCAAAGGCAAAAGTACAATGCAGTTAAGGTGCTTATGATTTCTTATTATAGTTTAATACCAATCAATTGGAGATTATTATATTTTTGTTTTCTTTCTTTATTTTCTACTTGATAATACATATGTAAAACTCGACGTTTTATAGAAAATAAGATAAAGACCAGTCTGCTTTTTTTTTTCGAGGTTTACAGATGATCGACTTGGTATTTCTCTATTTTTTTTATTTTCAATTTTACTAGTTTTACAATCACTCTTGCATGACGACAGAACATCACGTTCGATGCTACATTACGAAACTATTTGCGTCAACAGTTTCTTTAAGATTTTCTGATAATTGAATGCATTTATTAGTTATCAATGTCAATAGCTCAGCTAGAGACATTGTCTTGTTTTCTTTTAATGTGATGCAGCTCAGCTAATTAATTAATTAGCAGCTCATTTAATTAATTTTTTGAATTATTCAATTCTATAATTTTCTGTGTCCTCCCAGTGGCGAATTTTTGTACATAGTACTATATGCGAATATGCCTATAATAATAGCTATAACGTAACGTCTATCCAGTCTTTAATTTTATAAATCAAAAGAGGCAAACAAAAGAAGAGAAAAGTAAAATGTTAATACCCGTTCTAGGAAGTATAAAATGTATTTTTCTACTTACGATTGTTAAATAATCCGTAGGATGTGGTAGTAAGTAGCTCCTTTAATTTATTCTTCAAACTGGTGATCTTGAATAATTTATTGTGGCCGGACTATCCCTGCCAGCGGTTTAATAAAGGTCTATTAGCCAATCAGCATGATGCTGGTTTGAACACTGAGACATGTGGTGGTGGAAAAAGTTGTTGGAGCTGATACGATATGTCAAAATTTATCTTTCGTTTTTTCTTATCCTATAAGACAGTTGTTCTTGTACTTGTAAGACTTTACGTTCAACATTCCTTTGTAGTGTGAGCAGTTGTACAAAAGATGATTATTAATGATAATAAAGTTTACTTTATGAATGTATTGTTTATTGTGTAATTTTTGAGATCTTATCTGTGTTTCGTCAATGTACTGTTTTCAGGTGGAATTTTTTGTATTATTTGTACTCTTTGGCCCATATTATTTCTGTTAACTAACGGTGAAGATAATTCTAAAACCCACATGGTTCTTATTTCATAATACTTCAATAATTCGCTGAAGGGTTTAATTATGTTATAAGTATCCTTGGAACAGTTGCATCAAACAATTCAACTTTCCAATGTATATGTCATTAAATATTTGTTGTTGCTTACTATTTTTCTAATGTTCTAAAACCTGAACATCTTCTAAGATGTTTTATATGTCTTGTGGATAACATATTTTCATTAGAAGCGTTATTAATCACATTTATTAAATTGGAGAGCCAATTTGTGACTTCCAATGAGCTGGAGCCAATTCATCAAGTCTACGGTCCAAGAAACTCACACAATTCGCTAACTGGAATGCTTCTGCTTCTAGAGCTTGTATATGAGAGGATGTAACTACTGGGAATGAATTCTCTGCCAGTATTACCTGCAAAATAGTGTTATTCAATCAATGCTGCTACAATTCATTGATATATAAGTAACTCACTCTCTTCTCCAAGTCACCCAGCTTCGATTTTATAGCCTCTATATAACCAGGAGGTACCGAACGTTTCTTAGCAGGACCTGCAAATATCGAATCTATAGAAAAGTCAGATTTTCAGTGAAATTAATAAGAATGATTAAAAACACTTACAAAATTGATGAACTCTTACAACATCTATGATGAAAGGTCTACAAATATCATTTGACAATAATTATTTCAAGCTCATCAACAAGTATTACCCTATTTATAAAACTATCTTACTTCTCTTGCTTCGATCCATTTAACAATGCTGATAAGGGAATTAATTTATTATCATAATTTCTTATTTTGAGTACTCTACTTCCATCGTCCTCAACACCGATCCAACAAAATACAGACAATTTTAAGTCATCAAATGTCAATCTTGGTACTAGGGTAAAGTGATGTACGCTTGACTGAAGCTCGTCGCTGTCCGATTCTATAAATAAGAAGCATCGCAAATCTTTATATAATAAACGCACAAGCTTAATAGATGAAAAATTACTCACACAGGTTATGTTACGTTAACTTACCAAGGCAATCGTATCTGCGAATTAATATCCATATACTGATTTCGTTCATACCCATTGTCGGTTACGAGTTCTTAATTAATTATTAATTAATTAACTGACATCAAACCTTTGTTCTCGATCGCTATATACGTCCTTTTGCGACTGTCTTGTATATGATGGCTGTCTATATGCGCAGTGGCTGCTAAGCCGTTTCAAGCCATAATTAATATTCCATTGTAATAGGACAATTGATTTTACATGACATATTACTGGGCAACTTTATTGTTCTACAGTATCATACAAATAAGCTAATTAATTCAATAACGTATCTCAATTATGTACACACTAAATGAAAATAAGAGAGAGACTAGATTTCCTCCTTTTTGATAGCATGAATCGCATAATTAATTGATGTTGATGTTGTCCAAGACCATTCATTTTTTAGAAGATTGTAACACATACCGTGAATTAATTTTGTTTTACAGCCACCTAAGTAATATAATTAGATACAAATTAAAATAATTGGCATTGTAAATAACACTAATTAAAGTAAATAAATATTACTTACAAGCTTCTAATAATCGTCGGGTTTCATCTGGATGAATAAACTTGTTCCAATCATGCGTTCCCCTTGGAACTAATTTTAATAGATATTCAGCTGCTACTATTCCTCCAAGCCAAGAAGGTAGAGTTCTGTTTAAGGTAGTGATAAATATGGAACTACCTGGTTTCATAACAGCCGCACATGACTGTAAAATAATAGTATTAATCTCTTTATAAATCTTACATCGAATAGACCATAGTCTGTGGAATATACCTTGAGAAAGAGCTCCTTGTCCAAAACATGCTCTAAAATCTCTGATGCTACTACAGCATCGTATGATTCTGGATTGCTGTGAACATGATCTTCTATGTTACTCGTAATATAATTTAATCGACCAGAAAGTGTTGGATCAAGAGCAGCATGCTCTTTTGCAATGGTTATCAATTCTGGTGAAGCATCAATGCCTGTTACGTCTGCTCCTATCCTGGCTAACGGTTCAGACAGAATACCACCACCACACCCAATATCTAATATCTTAGCTCCTTCCAAAGGACTACCGGGATTAGCTTCTTCAAATCCAATATTAGCCAGACCATCACGCACAAACTGAACTCTTAAAGGATTTAAAGCATGAAGAGCTTTCATTTCGCCATGTGTGTCCCACCATTTGTCACTTAATTTTGCATGTTGCTCTACATCATGAAGATCAACAGTCGTACCTCTCGCTTTTGGAACTTCTTGAATATGCTTAGCAGTGCTAATAGCACTGAAAAACAAGTAAAATACATTTGCAACATATTCCAACTGAACATGCAATCTCCATCATTTCTCTTATGCAATACCTGTAACGTAACGCAGTTTTAAAACCAATATTCGTCAATAATGTAATCCCTGGAACCCTCATAATTATACAAACAAACTTAATCAGAACTACAGTGTACGAAAAATTTAAATTACAATAGAGCAACTGAAAGAACCTCGAAAGAAAACTCTAAAAAAAAAAATAAATGACTATATTAAACTAACAAACATAACACCAGTCACAGTCAGGCACTTGCACTCATTCAAATTAGTTAAATCCTCCCACCCCACCCTATCTGTAATTATTTATATTTTTCAAATTGCAGAAATAAACAACTGAATTTCGGATCAGCAAACAGTATCGCCATCTAGCGTCAAGTCAAATATACTAAAATAGCCGTATATCTATTAGACGCCTAACACGGGACAACCCACCGTATACGTATACAATCTCACAAGTTTATCAAAACAAAAGGCCTCATCGCCAAATAAAAAACAAAATAATACAGAGCCACAATCGAAAAATAACACGACACACCTAGTGTAAATGATCTCAGGCGTTTATTTCAAAAGTTCATTTCCTTTTTTTTCTTGTCAATATAACAACCGTAGTCCTCATCATTGATGAAACTATAATATTCCTTGATTCGTAGCGACGTTCAATCAATTCATAATTTCTATATGAAAATCTCGATGCTCGATTATACTCGGTACAAGATTCCGTAATACGTAATTATAAATGACAGCGTGCGACAGGTGAAAGGTCATTTTGGTTGGAGGAACGTCATAGGAATCATAAATCATCGTCGTTATCGAGCCAGCACGAAAGTCGTATCGGAAAATTGTGCTTTGCGCTTCCAACTATACCCGATGATAATTACGTCATTTTGCATAGTTACATATTCTATGATACAGGTCGTAGTCGAGCGAGTCGTTTATCACAATATACATTTTTTTTTAATATTAAATTTATCATAGCTTAAATTAGCAATAGTAATGATAGTTTAGCAATAAGAATATCGGTAATCATATAATATTAATAATAATAGTAGTACTGGCGGGACTAACAGTAGCACAGGAAATAAAAATTAATATACCGTATACATATCGATCTGTATGCATAAATATATGTGTACATATATTTACAGAAATATATGTATATACGCCGCACATGTAACTCAAGGGATGATCTCGCCTTGTTGACTCCAGTATGACAGAAAATATATAGTTTTATATGGGCTATCTTTATTCTTTCTTTTCTTTTAAGATTATTCTCAACCACCGTCGCCACTGAACTAAAGGTTTTTCATGTATCTCGTTATAACCGAGGTATCATCGAGGTACTCTTGCTGGATAGAATCGCTTCCTTTTTTTATTTTTTCTACGACAGCTAGATTTTTGTATGCTACAATATTTACAAGAATTGAAGACCTGGCCGGTACCGCTAGTCACGCGCCCACTAGAGACAGAGATAGAGATAAGATGTGTAAGAGAGAGAGAAAAAAGAAAGAAAAATAAACGGACACGCCGGCCACTTTAACCTGGATAAAGGCCATTCCTGAAATTTGTCCTGATCGCTCATCAAAATACAATGGATTTGCTTGTCCGCGTTTTTGCAAAAAAAAAAATAATAAGATACATATTCATATAATAAATACGAATAAGGAAGATGAACGGCTGGTTGCGCTCGCTCGAGCCGCACAGAACACGATTACGCAATCTTGATTACACTAATCATAATAACAACATTAATAATAATAATACGTGTAAACGCAGTGCAATGTGATTAATGCCTAAGAATTACTTTGGAATGAATATAATAAATAACTTGCGAAACAATCGAAAAATATGGAGAATCTTTCATGTCTTTCCATCGAGAGTAAGTGGCTTCGAGAAACCTTTGTCCTTCGAGAGGCGTCGCGGCGACGCGCCTCGGTAAAATAGATACGCGATCGATTAACGAAATTCAAATTCTACATCAGATTCGCGTTGTTATACGTGCAAAAAATAAATAAGATGTCTAGCAGTTTGAAAGCTACCGGCGAACCCGGAACACGATCACCCTCTCATGTAAATATTACATGTCAGGATGTAAGGACGTCGAGATCTTAAAAATTATAATATTCATAATCATAATAATGTATATCAATGGTCGCTACACATATAGTCGCAATAAGGAACGTAATATTAAGGCTGAACGAACGGGTTAATTGATATGGTAGAAAAGTTTCAACACTGTTCCCGTAGACGAGGTACGTTTATACTTTAGTTATCTCATGGCCACTGTACAAATCACTATGCCAGGTATATCGTATTAAGGTACGCGCGAGAAACGTTTAACATAAAACGTTTCATTTTTGATCGTTTTATATATTAAGTTATTAAGGAACTCGCGGACTTACGTCCTTGACACTACGGTTTTGGCACTATTAATCGGTTTTTTGGAATCCTCGTCCTCGTCAACAACCTCCTCTTCACAGTCTTCCGCTTCCTGCTCATGATCCTGTTCTTGCTCCTGTTCCTGCTCCTGCCCCTCTTCCTCTTCCTCCTCCTCTTCCTGCTCCTGCTCCTCCTCCTCCTCCTCCTCATACTCCTCTTGTTCAGGTTCCATATCATCGCCTTCTTCATTTTCGTTCTCCCTCGTAACGACTTCCTCGTCGAATTCCTCGTTACCGATTTCATCTTCCTCCTCCTGAACCTCGTCGGAGACGTCGTGAACGTCATCTGCTTGCTGCGACTCCGCGTATCCTTCCTCCAGTTCGTACTCCTGCCCTTCTTGGTAGACGTACTCAGTGACTTCCGGATTAGAATCGTCGTTCTCGATCACGTCAGCTACGTTCCTTTGGATCAGAATCTGATTACCATCCGAATCATTTGCTACCATCAGTACAGTACCGTCGAGGTCGTGTATCTGGACGCTACCATCTCCATCAGCAACCTCGACCTCCATTGTCTCGTCTTCGAAATTTTCTGCAAAGCTACCCTCAACGGAGTCTTCAGTGTTATGCGTCTCATAACTGATGAACCTTTTATTCTCTTCATCGGTCTGATCCACAGCTTCCATTTGACTATCGTACTCTTCCTCGTCACCCTCAGCCTCGCCCTCCTCTTCTGTATCTGATTGCGATTCTCCCATTACCACTGAAGGCACATTCGAACTCACCTTCTGCGGATCGGATTTCTCATAATATTCGGAGGAGCTGGAAGTCGACTTACCGTTTTCTATTTGGTCTTTGAACTCCTGGTGATCATCATCGTCGACCCCTTCAGTCTCATTTGACTTTTTAATAGACACCATAGGCGTTAATTCATGCTGTATCTCGTCGTCCAAATGTCTGTTATCATGTTCTGCATCCTGAACAGGTGGTAATGGCATCATTGGACTTAGTACTGGGGGTCCATCATCGTCATCCTCGTCTAAGTCATCGTCAGAGTAATCTGGAGCGTCGGCCTCGACCTTGACAACCTCGTGATTCTCATGATCCATCCTTTCCTCCATAGGATATTCGTCTACCTTCAATGCAGGAGACTCTTCCTTATACTGTAGATACTGGGATTCCTCCTCATTCTCGGGTTCTGCTTTGACAATGTTGTTACACTTGATGTCTTCACTCTGCTCCAGATGATGATCCTTAGCCACATTAACTTTATCCTCGTCCGAATCTTGATTTGCACTCTCACTGTCACTGCTAACCTCCGTAGCTCTACTGTTAGTCCTACACTCAGCTTCATCCTCATTCTCATTATCGTTATCCTCGTCGTCACTACTACTAGGATTACTATCACTATCGGAATCACCACTGTCATCTGAATTACTATCCTCACGATTATCAGAAGCTTCAGTCTCAAACTCAACTTCCTCGACCTCGTCCACTTCCTCCATCAAGGAATGCTCGTCGTCCATAAGAATATTCTTATAATCGTGATCATTTTCGTTGTTCTTGGCAGCGTTCTCCAGATCATTACTATGATTCTCGTACTCTACCTGGTTACCGCCAGTACAGATAGCGACGTGTTCCTTGAGTTTATCTTCACTCTCAAAACTCTGTTGACATTTTCTACACCAGCTGCTACCATTACAATTAATGTGTATGCTCATATGCAAGAGTAATTTACTTCTAGCATTATGATACCTGCCACAGGTTTTACAAGTGAAATTGTTACCCTCGCAGGTAAGGATGGCTTCGTGGGCTGCCTTGAGATGATCCGCCAGGTCCTGATAAGTTTTACAGAGCTTCAGACAAACGCCACAGGTGACAGCAGCTTCCGTTCTGTGAAACCTTATAAGATGCTGCCAGAGATGCTTCTTAGCTGGCCATTGTTTTCCACAGACTTCACAGGCACACTCGGTATTCGTCGATTCATCGTACACCTTTCTGGAGTCCTTTCTCGAGCACTTTATACTTGACAGCGATTTCATATGAGACAGAGGCATGAGGTTAGGTACAGGTTTCTGTCCAGAGAGTTGCATATTAATATCCTCGAAGAGATTGAAGTCAGGAATGTTCAGATTAGACTCATTAAGGATGGGTTCAGGCTCCTCTTTTTTAATCTGATTGTTATTCTTGAGGTGAGACTCCAGAATGGATGTGGAGTACACCCTGTCATCTCTGTTTATAGAATTACGCTTGGAGCAGACATTTATATGGTTCCAGAAGAGGGTCTTCGTGGAGAACTGCTTTCTGCAGTTCTTACATTCAAAGTTCTCGCGGTTTTTCGTTTTCCGCTTTGCAGTGTCTAGTTTAAGCTTCTTGAATATACGCATAGGATCCGTATTGTGAACGTTTCTATAGTGCTCAGCCAGAGTGACGTCATTCAGGAAGATCTCAGGACACATCTCACAGTCCAGAGTATCAGAAAACGACCTCCTTCTCTTAGAGTTGTGATAGTCTTCCTCGCAAGGCTCCTCGTAGAAATCAAGCTCTTGAGGCTCTTCCTTAACAACGATATCAGGGGCGTCAAACTCCTCCTGCCTGGGTCCGACGTCCAACCTGAACTCAAAACCAGCAAGCTGATCCTTGGGAACGTTGTGAACATGTTCGTAGTGATGCTTTATATCCTCGTCACTAGTGAACACTGCGAGACACTGTTTACAAGTCCTGAACACCTTGCCGTGACACTTTTTCGTATGATCAAAAGCCTTCCACTTGGAGGCGTATTGCTTGCCGCACACCTGACAGGTATTAGGTTTAGACAATATACTCCTGTGGACGTCTTCCACGTGTCTCTTCAGTTCCTTAGGATCCTTCATGGGTATAAGACAGACACCACATGATACTCCTATTTCGTTACGGTGTAAGGATAGTATATGCATCTTGAGCTTAAGCTTATTCTCAACGGTATCACCGCAAAAGTCGCAGACGTTAGGAGTACCAAGGTACTTGTGATCTTTGCGATGAGACTCCAGGTCCTCCTTGGTACGGAACAGTTTCTTGCAACTTGTATAGTCACAAGTCAGGTCTGGATGGTTCATGTGGTTCACTCTATTATGCGTCATGATACCTAATTTGGAGGTTATGGTCTCATCGCAGAGATGGCAGGTATAGGTACTGTGATGATTCTCAATGTGTTTCTGGAGACTAGCACGGTCCTTGAATATCCTCTCGCAGGCACGACACCTAGTGAGCAACGCACCGGGATCCTTTCTGTAGTTCTGACAGCCTTTCATGTGACGACGTAGAAGATATCTCTTGTGGAAACCTTTGTTACACTTTTCACAATGATGAAGAGTCTCGTCCTCAGGATTAGGCGACTTGAAGATGGACGACTCCCGTATTTCCTTCTTCATCTCCGGCTCATACCTGTGTATCTTGGCAATGTGAGCAGCAAGATGATCCCTCGAAGCGCTGGTTTTCAGGCAGTACCTGCAGGTGACGTCCTCGTGACCCTTGTGAACACGATTGACGTGCTTCCAAAGGTGCGAGGTCCGTCCGTAGCACTTATTACAAAGATCACAAGGGAACAGGCCGTGCGCTGTTCTTCTGTGATTGCACAGGTCATCCAGATTAGTGAATTTGACATCAGAACACATCTCGCAGGTGAGATCGCTCTCGTGGGAACCCTGATCCAGCCTAGAATCGTTCATAACCTCGTGCAAGGTGCTGTTGGCGTAGCTGTCCGTATCCAAACCATGTATCTTCCTATGCCGGGACATTTTTGATTTATTTGAGTACGGCCTCCCGCAGATATCACAGCTGAAGTCTCCGTTGGTTAGAGGCCAATGATTCGACTTGACGTGAGCACTAAGTTGGATGACGTCGGGGAAGACTTTTAGACATACCCCACAGATTAAGGGTACCGTGTCAGAGTGTACGCCCATTACATGCTTCCAGTAATCCACACGACTGCCCCACAGCTTCCCACATATCTCACAGGTATTCGGCGAGGCACCCTGAAGAAGATGATGTTGCACATGCTCGTTGCGAAGTGACCTAGTAGCAAATATTTTACCGCAGTCCTCGCGCTCACACTGCAACAGAACAATTAAATCATCAAATCACTGAGCTCTAGAATCTCTAGACAATCATTAAAGTAATGAGAACTCACCCTTATGGCAGGTTCATTACTGTGCACTCCACTAACGTGTAGCCACCGCTCCCATTTACTTGGATGCGAACTGCCACAAAGTTCACAAACGAAGAACAAATGATACTGAGCACGATTTCCATTGCCTGGAGTAGAACCGGATCCATTACCATTGCTAGGGTCACCCATCTGCACCAGGGGTTCGGACTATAATAAAATATACGCGATGTTGATCGATTACTTAATTAAAAATTACGTTAATTAGATGTCAGATCAATATCACTGACCTTGTGAGCGTTCCGCTGATGCCTAATGAGATGATCCTCGTTAGGAAAAGACTTGTAACATATATAGCAGTCGATCTTCTCTCCATCTTCACCATCAAAATCAATGGGCTGTTCATTGGCTTCGTTACTATTCAGATTCTCGTTATAATAATTACTATTCAGTTGAACAAAACTCGCTGGATCATAACCAGGATCAACATTATGAATAGAAACGTGAGTGATGAGCTTCTTCCTGGAATCGTGTTGCCTGCCACAGATTGTACAACTATACCTATAGTTGAAAAGTTATACCAGAGTAATAATTAATAAAACCATTAATTCGTAAAAGAATCAGTTAAGCTATTTAATGGAAAGAAACTCAATTAACCTTCTTTGTTCTGAGACCTGAAGCTTTGAGCCACCGTGGTACATGTTAACGTGATTCAAGAGCTGAGTATTGTCCGAGCAAATCTTTAAACAGACTCCACAAGCAAACGCCGCGAATTCTTTGTGCGTCGCTCTGATGTGTAACCATAGTGATGCACGATCATTAAAATCCCTAGTGCATATTTCACAGACAAACACAGTCTCGATTTCAATCATGTTCTCGTGGCCGCTCTCACGATCCTCCTCGTCGTTATCCATATTCATCTATGAGACAAGTAATAGAAATATTATTTGATAATTATTGTGGTCGTTAATGTGTTTTGATAAATATTAAAATTCACAACCGATCAGACTGACCTCTGGCGAGAATGGAGATTGAGATGCCTCTTTGGTTAACTTGGACTCGTTGTAGATGATCTGCGCCTGCTTATTCCGCATTTGCAGATTAGACACTGTTTTCTTTAGACACTTATCACTGTCAACGATTGGAGAAGGATCGACCCCGTGAGAGGTCAAAATATGTCTACTCAGAGACGACTTAAGGACGAAATCCTTTTCGCAGAGGATGCAGATGTAGGGTTTGTCCGCCTCATGGGTGACTTCGTGTTCCTTTAAATTCTCCACCGACGTGAAATTCTGTGGACAGGTTTCACAGTACCACCTCTTCTGAGCATCGGTTTCACTGCTGTCTGTAATAATTTAATTGTTAAACATTCAATTTCAATTGATTAGTTCATTAATAAGCTTTCATTAATCAAGTACCTGTCCTCGCGACTTTCATAGGTTTCGAGCCAATTCTATTTTTGTCCTCGTAATCCCGCTTAAGGCTATCGCCCTTGGTCAGTGCCTGCTTAAGTATAGTCAGCTGGGGATTCTTGGCGAGTTTCGCTTCGGCATCCCGATAGTCCTTACTCTCGTCGTCGGAGTCCATACTAGATAGATCCGACGTATCTATAAGACTTTTGCTCTTCTGAACGGAAATCTTGTTGGGCAGTTCTCTACGTCTTTCGCCCAGACAGACACGACTGTGCTTATTCAGATCGGTGACGTTCGTATACATCTTTGGGCACGTTTTACACTGGAACCTGTTATCAGGTTGAATATAAGGAAGTGGTAGTTCCGGAGGTGGTGGTAAGCCTGCATGACGAGACTTTATGTGTTCCTCCAGGTTCGTTCTCGTCGAGTAAATCCGAGAACAGTATCTACACGTAACCGCTGGATGACCCCTAGGCAACAAAGAAGGAATAAAGAAATTAAATGAAAAAAATTCTTTTAGTTTCTCCATATGGTCAGACTACAGTAAAGCTACAAACCTATGTGTCGTTGAGACGTGTCCCCATCTGTGCTTTGCCGTTGAGTACGACTTATTGCAGAGGTCGCATTGATAAGGTCTCTTGTAGGAGGTGTGATCGTCGGTGATGACTTTCTCGCCGATTACATCACCAGCACCCACGTGGATTCTAGCATGCAAAGAGAGATGCCCTTTCGAGCTGAAGGCCTTGTTGCACAAAGAGCACACGTAGACCTCGTGCTGTTCCGACGTGTGCTGGAAAACACTGGTGTCTTGTTTCTCACGTGGCATGGAGAGAGATCGTATCTCCTCGACGTCGTCAGTGACAATGGACGTCATCTCCAGGAAATCACTTGGATTAGTTTCCATATCCATTTCATACTCGTCCGATTTAGGATCCTCGTGCTCGTCTTGGCCTGAATTAAAAATTGAAAGCATTTAATCACACTCTCTGGAACTCATATATCTTGCCATGGTGAGTCACTCGACATGATAAACTTCAGGATGTACCTTCATCGGTGCCACTCTGATCAAGTATTTCTTCAATCTCATGATCCGCTTCACCATCAGAATTCAGTCTTGGTGGAGTGCCCAGGGCTGCATTGGGATTGACTATGGGGGCTTCAGGAATGAGTATAGGCATATTTTCTTTCTCCTTGAGAAGCTCAGAGCGCAGCTCTGTATACTGATCCATATGAGTCTGCGCTCCATTGTTACTCTAAATAACAAACAGATATAAAGGTACTAAAAACACAGAAAAAACTTTAGCTACAATAAAGTAACACGATTAGTGAGTAAATTCCTATCCTAATTAACTCCACAGAACACAAAATAATTAAACAAATAAAAATTCTCTTACCGCATCACTGGAGGGTAAACATCTTTCCAATAATGCCACCGCATTGACACATGCAGTTCTGAAGTCATAAAAATTTTCCAGATTGTACATGCATCGATAGCATAAACACTTTGGCAAACGATCATCCTCCGCTATCTGTAATAATAAATTTACAATTGTTTTATTGATTGATTGACAAATTCATATTAGACACTGTACTCCATTATCATCAGTGGTACAAAAATCGACCTTCATATCACGTACACTTGTAGAGTGCGTATGAAAGCGACAGAAACTACACGCTGGAGTGCAGCTCAATAAAAGTGAAAGTGGTACTGTGCAGCATACACGATTCCATTGATACCGAGGCGTAATAGAGAAAGTAATACTCTAGTATTTACTATATAGGTCAAGGTGCGTGTACTTGAATGGGATGACTCATAGGATCTATAGGGTGTTCAAATAATAGTAAGCTGGAGATGGAATAGACTCCTAGATAGAGCCACGTGATATATCCTCCTCCTCTCTCGGTACTGTACCGTTATAAATAAAGATTCGAGAGGTACTGATCTACTGGGTGTCCCTGGAGTCTTGTCACAGTCTAGAATTAATGCACCAGATTTCTATTGGGTATGGTATTAACTCTAGTACTAATCCGACAGTAGAACTCGTTATACGAGTGTAGAATTAAAATGCGATTGGATCAAGAGCGATCAGTCATTCTCCTCTAGGTGTTTCTCTGTTATTCCTTTTGTTATTCCTCGTCAGCCTTGTCTTTCCTGCGACTTACATTCTCTCTGAAATTGTGTCAAGAGCATTGGCTACGTATAAACGGAACACTGCTATTGCATCTGCAATACACTGCAAAAGCATCCTCCTGGTATCGCAAGGTTAATGCTTTTAATGATGGTTTTAAGCGCTGGGTCATTCAGATTGTGTAACTACGTAAGAGAGACAGTGAGATAGAGAGTGAAAGAGTGAAACAGAGATATGTTAATAGCAATATTAACAATAAAAAATGAAGATTGGTATAGGCATGATTTTAAATAAAATTCACTAATAATGTTACAATAGTGGGCACCTTTCAATCTCCTTCCTCCTACTTCCTGTCTCCTTTCATTATCTCTCCTGTCTGTTTTGACGACAAACTCTAATTACAATTGTACATGGCTCCAAGCACTTGCACCTTCAATCAATGGCATTCGGTTAATTCATCGATGGTTCAATCCAATCAATTTAGCTTCTAGTCCTACTTCCATTTTGTCTAAGGCTTCACAACAACACCATGGAACTAAAACTAACAAGGAGCTGACTGATGTTCTCCAATGAATTTCTTCTAAGCTACGAGTATGATTTTTTAAAAGTATTGATCACTGATCAATCTGTTCCAATATAGCGAAACAAATACGAGACTCGTGTAAATGACGGATCGATACCCTGATGAGGTATTTTTGTGTGAGAGAACCTTAGACGATTGATGATCCCCTGCTCTAAATGACATGGATATGGACGTGCATGGACAGTTATTTGAATAGGCAAGTCAAAGTAGGAAGACGAAAGTAGGAAGGCTGGTGAAGAGTCAACGTAGAGGATTCAGAAGACACAGGCAGATTCACGAGTAATTCAGTCACAGAACAGAAAAGCAGCAGGTAGTCGGCCAGTCGGCCGATCAGGAGAGCCATGTAGGCAGATGGGTAGTGCCTGCTGTAGTCTGCGTGTAAGAGTGTCTTTATAAGAGACTAGAGAGAGAGAAAGAGCGAGAGGTCGGAGGTAGAGAGCAGAGGGGTAGGGAGAGAAGTGGAATGAGAATACAGGAGTCTAGTGATCGTGAGAGAGAGAAAAAGAGAGAGGTTATGACGTCTACGGTAGGGACGATAATGTAACTCTGGAGGAATGGAAGCCGGAGTAGGAGAGACAGAGACGGAAAGATATATATATATATATATATATATATAGGACACAGAAAGATCCGTCAGGAAGGGCCAAGAGAGACGGGAGCTGGATGTGCCGATGAATCAGCCAAGAAATCAACGTGGTTCAGAGGATGAGACAGAACCAAGAGACGACGATGATCAATCTAAAAATTGTAAGATGTAAATGAATGATTTGTTTCCATGTAAATGAGTAGTGTCAACGTGAATAGGAAAAATCGAGAAAGAGAGGAATGATAAATTAACTAACCAGTACCAGGTGAATTAAGGCGTCATAGTATCAGGAGATGATGATCAGGAGCCAAAGGAAGGTGTCCAGATGGCTATGTAAGTGAGATCCAGTATGATATACATTAGGTAGCATCAGAGTGAGCAATAGTAAATGTAGGGACATGAGGCAGGGAGAAGACGGCAGATGTTACAAAGGAGGATACGGCTGGAAGCGCTGCTGCTGGAAGTGGCGGTCATGGCGATGGCGATGGCGATGGCGATGGCGGTCGTGACGGTGATGGGACAGACAAGCTGGGAGTGGTGGAGATGGCAAGTAGCCGAGGAGGAGAATGAGGCAAGGGACAAGCCGGACACACAGACATAGAAGCGTACAAGAGGGGAAACACCAAGCCACAGGCAAGCACTGCCACATCGACTCCGCGTAGCAGGCGAGCAACCGCACCCGGCATGTGGCTCAACGTGGGTCTCCGGTTGGCTCCGGAACGCCCTATCGCCAGATAAAGAGACCTCCTTCTCCCGGATGGTCTGATGTCGCCGTCGTCGAAGAACTTATGCAACGGGTGTCCAAATAAGACGGTGAAAATTGTTACCGTTGAGGCCTAAGATCGAATAACCTTTAGGAACCTTTAACGAGAATCGTAAGAAACGACGTCCCGTCGCTGGGTCTACGTAACGGATGACCCACCCATAAATCACGCCTTGTTCCTGGGATAGAACGTAATCCTGATGGGTTCAAATTAGAAGGTAGCGTCCTCCCAGGTCGTATCCGTAGGTCGGCTATACTCGGCAAGACTCGTGGTCTTTCGTACGGCTAACCACCCGGGGAATTCCTTGGGCGCCCAGCAAAGACGTGGATCGTCTGTTAACCTGGGTAATTTTGGCCGGCTTCGGCGGCCAAGAAATACAAGAGAGAAAGAAAGAAAGAAAGCGACAGAGAAAGCGCTAGAGAGGGAGAGAAAGAGAGAGAAGAGTTTATGCACGCATGAAAGAGAACAGACAGGAAGGGTCCGGAGAAGGCTCAGGAAAAGTAGTAGTCAGAGCTAGAGGGCTCGTGGGAAGCTCAGGATTAGTACTGGTACGCAGCAAGCCGATCATGCGACTTTCCTGGAAGAAGAAAGCAGATATAGAAGCCTGAAGTGAGCTTGCCAACGGATTCCAGGATATCCTGAGTTAAGTCAGATAACACAAGGAGGAAATGGAAGACGAGGTTGACTTCAGGGTGCGTTCGCAGGACAAAGACCACCAGGATGAGTTTCATGTTACATGTACCAGGTGTTGCAGAAGTACGGCAAAGTACCGCGATACACTCCTGGACAAACCCTTAGATCCTAGAAGCCAAAACTCAATACATTTTATCTATGTAAAAATTCACTAAAAATTATGTATCGTATAGCAATGCTACCGTCAGCCGACACCACACGTTGTTACGAATTACATGAGATATTGTACGACCCTTAAGAATTTACCCAGTTCGCATGCGTCCAACTCTCCAGGATTTCGAGGTTGGGGTGCAAGTAAGAGCAAGGCCGGTAACGCGCACACGCTTTCTGTTCTGTATACTCATACGTACACGTGCTAGGCATGCAACGTGGTCACCATGAGTATTTCATCTAGACTCTTAGCATCCACAGATAATATACAAGTAAAAAATGAGCGTTGTTAAACAATACTTTGTTGGAACAAAGTGCCAGTGAATGAAGAGCAACAGAGAAATTCAATATTACAGTGATAATAATTCTATGGATGAAATCCAAACAATTGACCAGAGAATGTAAATAGAGATGGCTGTCATTAGGTACAGGATGATTGCAGATGAATGATAAGTTTACAAGAAGGTAAATATACACCTTAAGAAATTCACGGCCTCCGTAAGGGCATTGAGTATACATTATTCTCAAGGAAGCCGAGAACGTGCTCGAGGACGTTTCTCACGACAGTCATGGAGCGCACAAAATGTCGTCCGGCGAGAGTCGCAATCCCCTTAGCAAGGCCAGCGAGCTCACCCAAGTAAGTAAGCGACGAAAAGCAAGCGGGTAACCGGTGTGTGAGAGTAGATGTATCAACTAAACACCAACAGCACAAGTAAAATTCGCCGATGGAAACGTCCTCGAGCGTCGGTCGCGTGGACGTTGTAGAATTCGAAAGTTCCATGTCAAGGGCCATTCTTATGAGCGATAAGCAGCACTTAATAGCAACGTTTTACAGCACATCTAGTACATTAGAAGGGTACCAAGAGACACGAGATAATTTTATTCCTAGGAATAAGAGAAAGAGGTGTATGCATAAGGTTTATGTAAAAGGAATACATGGAGTAAGAGCGACGCCATCGTCGTCGACATAGGTTAATCATGATAAAACAATAACTAAGGTCTTAAGACGTATAGGCTAACCTTGAAGGGCAGACAAGTCTGTATCTTGTCGACAAGCTGACGATTCCTCCCTTCCTGGCCGAATATATTCATCTTGACGGCGTCGTAGGAGGCGCAGAGCCTGCAGAGCTCGTGATAACGTTCCCTTGGCTCCATCGTTGTCGACGTCTTTCTTATAGTCACTGACGTCGCCGCCTTCCTCGTCGCGTACTCGCTGGGAGTGACGCGCGTGTCTCACTTTCTGGGTATGACGAGGATGCCAGAGGGGACTGACTGGGTCTCCTAGTCCTCCTCGTCGGAGGGGAACACTCCGAGGAGGAGGAGGTTACGGAGGAAGAGGAAGAGGAGGCAGCTGGGGAGAGCGGGCCCGAGGGGAATCAGTTAGCCAGCCAGCCAGCTAGCCAGCCAGCTAACTAGCCAGCCAGCCGGCACTGGTGCGGACGTGCGAGAGAGTATACGTGCGAGTGTACGTATATTTCTAAGCGAGACAGAGAGAGAGAGACAAAGAGGTACTGTGTACCACTTGTAAAAAGGAGATAGAAGTAAGGTTAGAAAAGGAAGAGAGACTTTTCTAAGGATCAGGATTCTAATTGCGCTGTATGGTATGAGCACAGGAGTAGGTTAATGGTAAGACACTCTTCACGATGAAGACCTTCTACGAGTTCTTTTCACAAGAGTACGACCTATCACTCGGCAAGACACTACACGAGAATGACGATCGCAACGCCACCAGGATTCCTGGGATGTACAAGACCTGCACTAGGTGACGCTCGAGAGTGACCTCCACCAGCAGCTCGTCGTATTTTCTCCTCCTCTTCTTCCTTATTGTGCTCCTTCTTATACACCTCTTTCAACTTCCTTCGCCTCCTTGTCTTGCTCGTTACTCTTCCTCACGATTAGCAACGTCTTCTACGGCCACTCTCCAATGACTTCACCCCGGTGATTACTCGACTTCCTCGGGCACTGGACCTCGCCTAAGGTCTTCGCGATCCTCGATGATATCTCACACGCACCTTTCGTCACATTGTTTGTTCACCCACTTATGAACTCCACTTCAAGAATCCACCAGGTTTCTTCCTTGTAGCAAACACTCGACCCGGACAGTTTCCGCAGCGGGTTCTTTAAGAACTCTTCTACGGGACGCACGAACCCCTCGCGATTTTCACCATACGACCACCGGGCTTCGCCATCTTGTATACAGACACTTGTTTCACTCGGGCGTGCTCGGGGATTTACGAATAAACGCGAAGCAATGCGGACGATGGCTGTTTTTCTCTTGTAGCGGCTTTTTCAAATTTATCAAAATTATTATGCAAAAGAACCTTGTCTTTCTTTTTCTCATTAATTTTTTATATTCTTGATACTCCTTGATCGCTTGCACGTATTATATTCGATTGTATTTCATTGAATTATGGGATTTTGTGTATCACATTAAATGGAGATGCATTATTAAGGTTAGGCCTTTGATTGAATTATACGTTATCGAGTTATAAATGCTTGGTAAAAGATAACCTTACGATTTTATACATTTTAAGGAATTTCAAGTGTTACACTACACTTTACTGTTTGTATCATTATTTTAAAATATATACACATTCATAGGGATACGCATGTTTACTTTGTTTTTCGTTGTTATTATAATGGAAAATGGCGGATTCCCCTACTCTTCGTTTTTCTACCCCCCCCCCCCCC